TTGATGAGAGCGCATCAGCGAACTGGAGTTAGCAGAGCCAGAATTTCCGATTGCCCGCATAGCCGACACCGAAGGGCCGTGCCTGAGCATTTCGACATGCCTCGGCTCGTGAACTAGCAGCTGTAACGACCATAGAAGACCTGCGGCATGAACCGTACTCTTGGGGTAGTGCATAGCACTGACCACGTCGCTCATCTTCTTGTAAAGTTGGCTTATCATCTCCCGATGCTCCAGTCTATCAGGCATCCATACTTCTTTTGGATCACTTCATCCACCAGTCTGAATCTTTAGAGATCCGACCTCATCTGCTAATGTCAAGACCGACCCTCGGATATGCCTCTGCAGTTTGGGGGTCACTCATCATGTCCTCTTTGCTTCTCAACACGCATATTGAGTTCTATCAAAGATCCCATCATACGACGCAGACGATCAGCGGTCTCTGCTGACTTCGAGTCAATCTAAACCGTTATAATCTCCAAGTGTTCTGTCGAGCACTGCGTCACCTCTGCCTTGACAAATTCTATTTGGCTTCTATCCTCTTCTTCTGTGGATGACTGCACGCTCTTGACGTGGCAGTCAAGCTGAAGCTCAATCACTGCATACGACAGGGCGGGAGTACTCACACCCACCTCCTCCGTGATTCGCATGAGGTCAGATTCGAAGCCCCGCATTATCGAGCTCCGGACTCAGCCAAGCTCCCCGTTGTTCGTTTCTGAATCGAATCGCTCAGAGAAGCCACCTGGCGAGATCCTACTTCCAACTCGGTTATTTGCTCGGTGATGAACTTGCTGCTGTTCGCAGACATCACGTTAACCTTCTCTTTGAACTCAGCCTGAGAGGGCTAGTCCCCGGCCCAATGGGGAGTCACGAAAGAGCTTACGACGGTTTTATCAAGCTCTGCCCTCTGCGTTGTAAGGCTGTTCAACTCTCGCTGTATGCGACCAACTTGGTCTGATAATCCTCTACTGTCCGCTTTGACTTTTCTGAATCGTTACGTACCTGAGTACTCGTGACTCATGACCAGCTGTGCGTCACTGGCTCACATTGTCAACAGCACTTCTGAAGTCAGTTTCCAGGGACTTCTTCAGTTCATCATGACTATCACTCACGCTGTTGATGCTCGCTTCGAGCGATCTCGAAAGCTCCTGCTCCTACAGCACGATACTTTCCCCATCGCAGAGCTCGTAGCAAAGCACAGCACAACACGGAGGCAATGTAGCCGGTCGCCTCGCCACGAGCTCGTCAAGGACTTCGTAACGGTAAACCCACCCTGCGTTGCGCTTCAGCTGCATTTTTTTCTTAACTTCGCCTAGCACGTGGTCCTTCAAGCGCTGCGTCTGGCTATTTATCGCGTCGGAAGTCTGAGAGAGCAGTGCTCCGACCGAAGCCGTAGGACATACCCACTTCCCCTGAACGATTCCAGTTCCCCTTGAGGGTATCAATTCGCTGGTTGACAGCGTTCGCTGTCCTGTGTCTCGGAGCGCATGGACGCTAGTCGGACATCCGGGTTCGAAGCTGAGACGAAGAACAGATCCACCGGGCAGCTAATTCTCTCAGAATCGGTTTTTCCGGAATCTTGTCTTTCCACGATATTATTCTCGCATTGATGCCTCACCGCCCGATTTTCTACGGATTTGTTGCCCGGTGTAGTCGATTTCCGCGAACGTTTTGTCGGACAGTCCCGAGAGGGGTAGCGGTCCCTTGTAGAGGTACCAGGGACGGTTGCTAACCTGCGAGCTTCCTCTCTATCTGTTGCAGCTTCAGTTTCATTTCGACATCACACTCACGTGGAGGCGATCGCTCGCGGTGATCTGTCAAGAGCAAATTTTTACTCTTTGTGAAAAGATGGCACTGAGCGGCCTACTTGCAATTTTGTCAAGGCTCTCCGATTCGAATTTACGCAACCGACCTTCGACGTGGGCGAGTATCTGTACGCACGTCCACGAAACTGCATGCCTTGTCAAGTCCGACCTGCTGTTTGAGCCGGCTGGGCGACATCTGTCCCTCTCCTGGTTGACCCAGCATAGCTTTGGACTCCACTTCCTCGAACCGGGAGGACAAGTCTGCTAAAGTAGCTCGCATAGGGTCAAGCGCGTCTGTGAATCTCTCCGTGCTTCTCCTGATCATAGGCAACCGGTGGTGTCAAACGAGCTCCAGAGCTTCCGCGCTCAATAGTGACACGCGCGGGACGCTATGCGGAATTCCCAGGCGAACCGTAGGACAGTTCTAGCCGGTTATTGACATAACAATCATGAAGCTGAATGCAAGTGAAGAAGCTGGCCTCTGAGGCTCAACAGCAGATCCCTTCGAGCTCCAGGGCTTCCTCGCTCAATAGAAGGAAGACATAACGTGAGGCTATTTTACTGCACGAACGCGCACGAAAAAGGGTTAATAAACCCTGATGCAAACCGACCTGAGCAGTGCTTCGATCCTGAAAAACTCGTTGATTTATTTCTGCTCCCTCCTTGCTGAGTCGTTCGCCAAAGTCCGCACTGCATCCTTCCACCACTGCAAAAGATGCGCTCGCATCCGTTAGATTCCCACGTTATAGAAGTATGAGGAATAGCGTAGTGCGAGAATTGAATCACCCTTGTTGAATTCGTCCGACAGCTTCTTCCTCAAGCTTCTGCAAATGTCTTCCCGAGGCCTCCGTCATCTGCAGGCTCAAATTGGACCGAAGGACCTTCAGGGCTTGTCCAACATCCTGATTGAAAAAGTCATTGTTGTCTCGATAAGAGTGTGCGAGAAGAGCTAGACTTGCATCACGCCAGAGCCGCGTAGGCCTGAGTCCGGCGGCGTGATGGAGAACTCCACTTACAGGGGGTGTGGAAACAAAGGCTACTGCGAGCTCACAGTTCGATGATGCCTTCCCTCACCTGCTCAGTCTTGGCCTCGCTCTCTCTCACTATATTGACGAGCTCTTCCACCTGCTGCTGCACATGCCGAGTTAGCTTTGTCCTCAGTCCCTCGTCTCTCATCAACTTCTCTGGCGAAGTTCTGAGCATCTCGGTGATTCCAGGACCACGATAAGTCAGCGGCCGGGTCCCGAGCCTCGGGCTATGCAGCGTAATTTCGACTTAACGATCCGGTTACGAGCAGTAGAGCATGCAATAGAAGTTCCATCGGTATTCGTCTAAATCCCCCAACCGAATTCGGAAGGACAGGTTTGAAACAGAAGATGAGCGCAGACGAACCTTTGCGAGCCTCTCCAGCTGGCCGGTCAGCTGCTGGCACTTCAGTGACAGCTCTGCTATGCTCCTCTCGACCTCGGAAGAAGCAGTGCGACGCGACGGCTACTCACGAAGGCCCCTCAATCGTCTTAAGGAGGAGACGAGTTAGTTCTCACTTGGCCTGCTGCCCAGGACCGACTCAACGGGCTGTGAGTTGTGTTCTTCGAGCTCGACAGGCCGGCAGCGCTCAAGAGATGAGATCGGCTCGGTGAAGGAGAGCCTCTGTGGGATCCTGAGGAGGAGCGCTCTGAAGTACCCCTGCATGCTTGTTCGAAGTGCCCAAGCGCTCCAGGCCAGGAAAGATGAGCGTAGATCACTGTTCCCGAAGCAGCAGCCGGCGCACACTCAATGATGCGTACTCGTTGCCGTGGCCTTCCTGGACGAAGGGGAACTCCTGCGACCGTAATCCGAGTCGGCCCGCATTGGGAAACTCAAATGATGGCACAAGTTCCCCGTGATAACCGCTTGGAGCACCAGGCTTGGTGCGTGAGCCAGCGTTCGAGAGCCGTAAAAACCGATCCGCGTAGCGTAGGGGGTATTCGGGCTTAGTCTCCACAAAATAAGCAGGCTCATCCCGACGTCCACTGTAACACTGAACCCTTGTTCGGGTCAGGGAGAGGGCGTGAGCATAATATGGGGTCTCAGTCGTGGTCTCAATATGTAGATTATTGCATAGGTCAGACTCTGATGATTAGCCGTACTGTCGAAACCGGAGGAGGAATGATCGTCCGAGAGCCGCCGAGAACTCGAGTCCCGAGAACTGTGACATGTGGCATCCTCAGGCACTCTTCTGATCTCTGAAATTACGTGGGCAAGTTCAAAGCTCGACTGAGAAGAAGACCAAGTTGTGAGATGGGAACGATACCTGAGTGTTAGCATGATCAACGATTCCAACCAATTTCGAACAAGTCTTGAGTTCGTTGAGCAGGAGAGAGTCACCACGGCAGCACGCGTCGTGAGTGAGGTGGCCAGTAATGAGTTCCTCCGTTAGCCTGACACCTTTCAAGATGTACTTCTCAAATTGACTGTGAATTGAACCTCATTTCGCTGATAGCGGACGTCGTGAATTCCAGCGCGTTCCCAGTCTTACGACGTAAGACTTACGTTGAAAAATTTCCACACATTAGCGATCGTGATTTTAACTACCGCACTGAGCAGAAAACCGGCCGAAAAAGGACAGGAAACAGAGGGCGCGTGAGTTGAATCCCGAATAACCGAGTTGGACTAAATTCGGTTACGGAGGAAGCTCAGCGCCCTTCGGTTCGTCTCAGTACTGTCCAACGCAAAGCGAGGACGCCCACAATCAACAATCAACAAAGTCCATGAGTTCGGTTGAACATGGGCACGGTAGCGATATAGTTCTGCTTCTTCCGAATCCTGCAACGACGCCTGCGGATTGAACACAAACGAAGAACGATACAGGGTCTATCAGAAGAATCCGATTCTCGGATGGAATGGTATTGGGAACTTCTCGGGTGTCTCGGTGTCCCTCTTCGGGAGAAACATGCTGGGCCAGTGCTTAGCCAAGGCGTAGGCACCTAGTCACAGCGACAGTCGAGCTCTGGCATGTTCGGAGGGTACCCAGTGGGTACTACCCACCTATCTTATCTTCAAGGTGTCGGGACTATTGTAGGCAAGGCACGCGAGCCCCTCAGTCCTGGCCGCGGTATAGGTAGGGTGGACATCAGCCGCTAGCAGTATTGGACTCGACCGTGATCGGGCGAGAGTCTGACCAACGGTGCCCAATAAAGTGACGGCAGATTAGAAGTCTCGCGACTCACTCAGCTTCAGAGAGTCACTGGGTTATGAGCCCAACACGCTATCCACTGCGCCAAGCTGCTTTGACGGTATAATATGCTTTTGGCACCCATAAGGAGGTTGTTGCTAATAGTTCGAGTGTATGTCCAGCTGACGCCTATGCACCGTCCGGGAATTGAACCCGGACCATCTGCTTGGAACGCAGATATCCTAACCATTAGACCAAGGGTGGGGGGAAAAATCGAGAAAAGAGAGGGGGAAAAGAAGAAAAGGAGGAAAAGGGGGGAAAGGAGAAGGAAAAAAAAGGGGAAAAGGAGGAAGAAGAAAGGAAGGAAGAGGAAGAAAAGGAGGGAAAGGGAAGAAGAGAGAGAAAGAGAGGAAAAAGAAGAAAGAGTCGAGCACAGACTAGGCGCTGGGGTGCCCTGGTGACGTCAGATTGGCGCGTCAACTTTGAAGGGACAGCGCGCGTAGTTTCTTTCGGGATAAAGAGCGCCCTCACAGAGGTCACCTCAGGTTACACTCTCGGCAACGGAATTTCCGCCACTACCCTATTCTTTCGAGCACCTAGAATCGAGTACCATAGTACGTGTTACTTTGCATGGATTCCATACGAAGTAACACGTATTACTCCAGAGTACAAGTATGGCATACGCGATAATGTTTGTACTGACGCCACTGTCACTAGCACAACCGAGGCAGCGTTCGAAGCTGTATCAACATTATCCACGCACAGCATTTCAGTCGCTGACAGCCACTATGATGGATATGAGCCCCGTATCATGGGCCCCATAATATGGGGTCAGTATGGGGTTACTCTTCAAATTACCATCACACAGCGCGATTGATGCCCGCGCGTGAGTCTGATGCGGGAGACACTATTCATCTGTGGCATTCTACTCCATTCATCCTCCAAGCATAGGAGTTAGGGGATGACGATAAATCTATTGAAATCTGCCGTCCGCTATGAATTCCGTTTCAAAGTTGGGCTGCGGAATCTGAGAGATGTCTTCCACGACTGGATACTGGAAAGGTTACCAGTGGTAACTTACCAGGGTGGTAACTTACCACCCAGCTTTCTTCTTCCTTGAGTATCGAGCCCTCTTCACCTCATTAAATGAGGTGCAATATTCTGTGAGTCTTCTCAGTCTCGCGCCGTGATCAGTTCTCGACGCCTCTCAATGGTCGGCTCTCCAGCCAAAGGGCAGTAGTTCAGCAGACAAAAGTTCTCGTCACAGCAAGTCTAATGAGTGCAACGCTGTCCCGATGGTGCGGCGCTTGAATGTCAGTTGACACATTCCACAACGTCGCTTGCCAGTTGTCGAGTCTTCCACCCTGAAGTGTCAAGCGGCTTCCGAGGCCTTTTCCTTCAGTGCGATGATGCTCGCAACAACCGGGCCCTTGGATCCAAAGGATAGCGGGCAAACTCACTGCAATCGCTTTGGTGATCGCCGAAGTTTGGCTGATCTGATTACGTCGAAAGTCTCGAGACGGAGAGCTCAGTGCCTCATGATTTAAATTTCCCGTCCCAGCCCTCAGCTAGAACTCGCCTCACCAGCCAGGGAAGAGAATGAAGGGAGGTGGAGAGAATCAGAGGGGAAATAAAACGACTCTACACACCGCGCCGAAATCGTCCGGGCGCGCGCGAAATCGTCGCCCCCCCCATAGTCACCCCCCTTAATTGCGCGGCCCCGCACCATTATGGTGCGGGGCCAATCCAAAAAAGGAGCGTTACTGTGAATGGCAGCAGCACAGTGAAGTTACAAGCGGTTTGGCAGGGAGGTATGGAGCAGAGTGAAAAAGCACCGCCTCGCAGGCTTCGCCGCCGCGGAGCCGGTGCTTTTTTACTTATTATTCTTGGCCACCCCCCATTTCGGCACGCCGTGGATAAGCCAAACCATCTGACCAACGGTGCCCAGTTAAGTTACGGTAGATTAGAAGTCTCGCGACTCACACACCTTCAGAGAGTCACCAGAAATTTACTGGAACCGAGAGTCGAACTCGGGACCTACTGCGTGTTAGGCAGTCGTCATTACCAACTAGACCATTCCAGCTCCGGGAGGGGAATCATCTCTGTCCCGAAATCGCGCTGCTAGTGTTCTTTCGCACGCAATGTGCTCTAGCTTAGCGCCGGATGTGTCACCCCAAGCGACACGCCTGATTTTTTCCGATCGTTACGGTCTACGCTTTGAAGAGAAAATTTTGTAGGACCTCAATTCGCAAGACGCTTTCTGAGTAAGT